CTCTTTCTCTGCCCCTCTCTCTCTCCCTCCCCTCTCTCCCTCCCCTCTCTCCCTCCCTCCCCTCTCTCCCCCCTCTCTCCCTCTCTCCCTCTCTCTCTCTGTCCCCACCAGCTTCTTTCCTCTTTCACATTCTTATGTCAGGATTCTCTGCCTCTCCTTGGGCCCTGAGGAAAGGAATCAGCCATCTATGGACTGAGACCTCTGAAACCATGAGCCCCCAAATAAACTTTTCTTCCTCTAATTGTTCTTGTCAGGTCTTTTGGTTACAGCAAGGAAAAAGATGACTAAAACACTAGCCAACCTGAGCAAAAGAAACTCCAGTACAAATAACAACAAAATACGTAATTATGAGGAAATACTTAGGAAACAAAGGATATCAAAATTATTTTAAGCAAAATATCTTGCAGAATGTATGGGGCTAAAACTTATTGGACTTAAAGAGACTTGAAAGATACTTAGAAAATATGTATCTTGTGTCAATAAATTAAACAAACTAGAGGATAATTTCCTAAGAAAATATACTTCATCAAGCAGACCAAGCAAATCTGAACAGACCAATTTCCATAAAAGAAATAGGAAACATTGCAAAGGAAAACTCAACAAAAAAGCATCAAGACTAGATGGTTTCACAGGACACTTGCACCCCACTTTGAAGGTTAAAACACTTCTTGGAGAACTCAGACTATTTCAAAGCACAGGAGTGCAAGCAAGTGTACACACACACACACACACACACACACACACGAAAACCTAATATCAAAACTCAACAAAGATTAGAGAGAATTTAAAAATTGAGAAAATAATAAATACAATAAAATATGTTAAACCTGAATGAAAATGTATCATGACCTCATTGGTTTTTTTCCCGGAAGGTAAAAGTGGTTCAATATCAGGAGATCTATTCTATTACAGGAGGAAAAAATAACCATCTGTCAAATTTCAAAAGTATTCATGATACAATTCTCAACGATTGGAATTAATGTTTATCACCTTAACCTGATAAGATATAAACACTTCAAACCCAAATCCTTCAAATTACTTAATAAGGAAACACTAGGCTTGCTGTAGGGAACTAGGAACAAAACAAGGATGTTCATGCCTCTAGCACTATTTAAAATTTTATCGGCAGCATTAGCCAATTAAATATGTGAAGGCAATCAGGGACAAAGAATCAGAAAGAAAACAGCTACATCTGCCTTTAAGATTTGCATATGATGTGATGGTATGGAAATACCAAAAGAATTAATGGAAAGATTGCTATAAATAGTGCAAGAAATTCACAACTGATATCATAAAAGTTAATGCTCCTAACACAAAGTATTGAAAATTTTAATTAAAAAGTGACTTAAAACAGCTCTTAGAAATATTAAATCATGTTCAGGCTCACTACCAAAAGGGAAATACAAGTTAAAAATGGCACCAAGTTACTATTTCCCAAGCATCAAGTTGAAAAATACCCACAAGTCCAACATATGTTATGGTGACCATGTGGGGAAAGAGGTACCTGTACATTTCCATTCAAAGTACACAAGAGTCCAGGAGTATGGAATTTATAAAAGCTACTAAGTGACACCATTAGTAAACAATCAGATAAATCTAGGAAGCAGAATATTCTATAAGACCAAAAAAAAAAAAAAAGGCTCATTTCTTCCAATGGATCAATGGCTGGGAAAAAATATCTTGCAGAATGTATGGGGCTAAAACTTATTGGACTTAAAGAGACTTGAAAGATACTTAGAAAATATAATAATCAAACACATTGTGTGGACCTTGTTTGGGTCCTGATTCAAAGAAATCAATGATAAAAAGAAATATTTGTGACAACCGGGGTGGGTATCAGCCTACTTCAAGGAATTATTAGTAATTTTGCTGGAGATAATAATGGTTATTATGCTAAAAAAGGGAAATTTCATCAATGTATGAGGAGTTATTTCTGAAAGGACTTATCAGAGTTGCTTTAAGATGAGCTGGCTACCATGTTGAGCATTGTTAATGTGTGATGCATTACCACCACAATCTACTTTTTTTAAACTGTAAAATTCCATAAGAAAAAGTTAAGAGTGAACACAGTGCTCCATGGACTGCAGTCACTCTTGTAAGACTAGGATGCCATGCAGTATCCACAAAGGTCATCCATGAATGGACCAGTAGGTGTGCTGTGAGTCATCCCGCTGAATTCTCAGACTCCTCAAGCAGAATGGAACCTTCTCCTTCCCAAATTACCTAATCTGAGATGTTGATAACAACCAGTAAATAAGAGCCAGGCTTTGAGTTGAATCTGTCACTTGTCAGACCCCCAAGCTGACACTGCTGCACATTTATGTCACTGTCCCCCTGGAAGGGACAATTAAAGTGCTCCAGCAAAAGTATCACACACGTACTGTATGAAGGACAAAAATCTTCTCCCTTTTCTTTCTTTTCCCTTTATTTACAACTTTTTATTCACTTTGGTCTCCTTATGGTGCCAATTTCATGCTACACATTCCTTTTTTATAATAGTTTTGGAGTTCCTTTCTGTCCCATGTCCCCCCCCCCTACCTTTTTTCCCGCTTCTTTTTGTATCTTCAAAACAGCTCAGATAATGACATCCTATCGAATATCATCATGTTCCAACTTCATTATGGACTCTCCACCCTGCTTTCCTTTGGTCAACAAGGTATTATTATTTGGTCCATTCCATGGATGCCCTTATAAATAATAAGGTGCTCTGTTCTGTGACAATGCCAGGCCATGGGCTTCACCCTCTGTGGCATCATATCCTTCACCCTGGCTTCACAAAGCTGGCATTTGGGCCATTTCAGATGTTCCCAGGCTCATTATAAAATGCAATTGACTTTTAAGATATTCTTATGCAACTTAGCTCTTACTAATTTCTGTTGGCATGGCCTTTTTAAAGATTTCGATATGAATTAAATTAAAAGGGGTCTCATTTTACTGAAATTAATGTGAAAATTTCATTAAACTGATGAAGATGTTCCATACACATTGGGTATTAACTTAAGGACACTCACCTTGACAATACCACGGATGTGCATCTTTGCTATCATCTCTGCCGTGTACAGGAACATCAACAAAGTATCCAGAGTAAAGGTCACATACTGGAGAGGAGGGTAGTGCTCGAAGGTCATTGGTGTGTTCATACACACAGAGATGACGCTGATGATGGCACAGATGCGCAGCAGAGAGTGGACCCACTGCAGGAGAGGCACAGAGAGACCACGTGACACTCCAGATGGGTTTCTTTAGCCTGCATTATGAACCATACTACTTGCCAGACATAAAGCTAGGATTTAAATATTCCACCAGTGTGGAGATAAGGAAGAAGGGGACGAGTGTCTATTAGGTGCGTATCATGTGCTAAGCGCAGCTTGCTTTCAACATGAACACACTAAGATTCAGAAAGGTTAGGAGACATTCCTGTGGTCAGGCATAAAGAAGTGCCAAAACCTAGATTTAGAGCTAATCAGGATTTAAAGGTCTCTGGTAATTTCCAGCAATTCACTCATAGAAAGAGTTGATGTTGCTCTTCCCCTGTTTTATACTATGAGCCCCTAGAATTTGGGTCATATTCTATTTATAGTACTATATTTACGTAGTGTATCATCTACCACAATGATCATCAGAGATCACAAATGCCTTTTAAAGTGAATTGATATAGAGTGCTTCCTGTGTATAGGGTTTTCTTTTTATTTGTATCATATATAATCTGAATGAAACATAATTTTAAAAATCTACTTCATCCTATATTTTGAAAARATAATAAGTAAACATTTTATTTTAGAGATCATGTTATATACAAATTTTGCCCAGAATCTCCTTCAGAATTGTAAAAATTTAGGTTTTTGTGCCATTCTAGCAACACATTCACTGTTGGAAGATTTTTCTTAACCCCCATACAATAGGAAAGATTAAAAATATAAATGTGGGTGTTTACATATACATATACATATGTATAGGACTTATGGTCATTCACAAACAATATCTTATTCTGAAAAGTAATACCTAGGATAAAAATACTTAATTGCATCTACATGATAACCCACATAATTAATATCACCAGTGAATTATTTAGCACACAAATTCTTAAGCATAATGTAAACGTTGTTTATTGACCATCTTGGATACATATATGGTTTTGTTAATTCATTAACTTTTTATTCCCCCTGAAAAAAATTTTAGTTTAGTAGTAGATGAATTCTGCAGATATGCAAACTAGTAAACCCTTAAGATGAAAACTAGAAAAGATTGTAAGAACTTTGAGGGGAATTAGACATGTGTGGGCTAGGGAGTAGATTCTAATATTTGCCTGACAGTTATAATATTTGCATGAAGACCTCATGCCAGTAATTCCATGCCACCTAAGTCATGGATGATCCAGTTTCTTTTAAGGTTTGATATACATTTCATGCAATTTGGAAGCACTTCAATAAATAGAGCCTGCCTGGATTTCCAACATAAAGAATCTAGTTACCAAAAGAGCTTCCAAAGAAGGGGACTTGCACAACAAATCTGTTTTGAATTTGAAGAAAGATTTACAATTACAGGGCTGGAGATGTGGCTCAGTGGTAGAGCACGCACCTTGCGTGTGTGAGGCACCGGGTTCGATCCTCAGCACCACATAAAAATAAATAAAGGTATTGTGTCCATCTACAACTAAAAAAACATATTTTTTAAAAAAAGATTTACAATTACATATTAATTATGACAGTGCTTCTGAGGCTGTATCTATATCACCACCATGTTCATATAGTTTTGTAGCAGTTAGACACTAAGAAAAAGTTAGTACGTGATTTATTCTATCTTCCACTCAATTCTCTAAATATTGATGGAAGACCTACTATGCATCAGATGTGCTGGGCTCTGAGATTATAAAATGGAAGCAGTACAGTCCAACTTATAATGATCATGCATGACAGCAGTATAGCACATATACATTATACACACAGTCATCCCTTGAAATCTGTGATATCTGTTGGGCAGATATCTGTTGGTTCCAGGAACCCCCTGCAGACACCAAAATCCAAGAATGCTCAAGTGTCCTGTATAAAATGGCATTATATTTGCATATAACTTATCCACATTCTCTGGTACACTTTAAATCATTCTGGATGACTTATAATACCTAACGCTATGTTAGTACTATGTATATACTTTCATACTGAGTTGTTTCTCAAATAATGACAAGAAAGAAGACTGCAAGTTCAGTACAGAGGCAGTATTTTAAAGAATATTTTCAATTGGTGGAATCTGTAGATACAGAATCCGTGGATACAGAGTACTGGCTCTACTTATATACAATACACGTTTATATTATGCACAAATATAAAACAGGATAAGTGGTAGGGAGGGTTGGTGTCTCCAGCAGCCCTAATGGATGCGGAGGATTTGACTCTTCAGAGCAGTACACACAGGGCAGTGATGTGAACAAGCCCAACAGTCTGGGGAGCAGGGAGTGGCTGCTGAGCCTCAAGAGGACTGGTGTGTAGATTCAGGGAAGAGGTAGCTGCTAGCCAGGGCAGAGCCTGCAATAAAGCTGTAAATGTAATGCCAAYACATTTCAATTCACAATGACGGCATCAGGGATGTTTCGATGATTGTAAAGCACTAATAGCAGTGTAGAAAGAAATGTGAGCAGACTAGGAAAGCAGACTGGAAAGGGAAGGGAACTAGACCACCTGGCCTCTCTTCCTCTGAGAGCAACTCACAGTGGCATCTCGTCCTTTCATTTGAATGGCTCTCAACTTCCAGACTCTGAGACTCATTTATATTCCACTGCAGCTCAAACAGTCAGTTCAAAGCCAAAGGTACATGATTTTTGAATTTGCGAATCAAATTTCTCTTATTATCAGCATGTGCTTCTCCATACTTCAAAAAAAGAAACTTACTGGCTTGTTAATCCAGAGGATGTCGGCGTTGTCTGACAGAGATTCGTCAGGACCAAAGTCGGTAACTGGCTGGGCTTCCACCCTGGAGCTCTGCTTCCTTTTGAGCATGCTGAAGTTAGCTTTGGGGCGCAGGTACCAAACAACAGTCTGGGAAAAGGAAGAGAGGGTTTTGTTCATTACCCAATCAAAAACATCAAGGTCTTCATGTGTGTTCAGGAATTGGTGGATCAACAGGTGTTCCATTCCATTGTACACCACAAATGCATGCAGATTGAAATCTTAAAAAGATGAGATAAAATAACTATTAATAAAAGCTTGATTTGTTTCTCCCAATGTAATCGATTATCTTACATACTTCATTCGTAGTTTAGAGACCACTGAACAGCAGGGGTAAATTGCTTGCCTCTTTGGGGACACATTGTCAGAAAAATTTCTGAGATATATGTTCATATACCTACAGCTGCCTCCACTTCAAGATGGTCTGTACCAAAGCCCTGCTGACTATCCAGATGGGGCATGTGTTCTGCAATAGTGACCCTGTGTCGTTTTAATAGGACATTCACACTTARCTCCTATTTTCCACAGTAGTCCCAAGCTGATTTCCCAATTTCTTTCCTACCAAGAAAGGATGGTATTATGGTTTAGATATTAGGTGTTCTCCAAAAGCTCATCTGTGAGACAATACAAGAAAGTTTAGAGGTGAAAGATTAGTTTATGAGAATTTAACCTAATCAGTCCATTAATCCCTGGTAGGGATTAACTGGATGGTAACTGTAGACGGGTAGGGTGTGGCCAGAGGAGGCGAGTCCCTGGCAGCATGTCTTTGGGGTTTATACTTTGTGGTAAGGGGAGCTGTCTCTCTCTGCTTCATGGTKCCATGTTGTGAGCTGCTCTCCTTGGCCACACTCTTCCTCCATGATGTTCTGCCTCACCCATGGCCCATAGCAATGGAGTTGGCCATCTGAAACTTTAGCACCCAAATAAACTTTTCCTTATGTCTTTTGATCACGGAAGTAAAATAGCTGACTAAAACAGGTGGACACCAGACAGATCAAGTTGGAACCTCCTTTTAATGGAGATTTGTTTTCTTTTATGAATGCAGTGGTTATCTAAATTCTTCTAGCTACACTTAAGTAAAATCTTCACAAAATTCCACTGAACAGGAAAATGAGATTCTAGCTTGCCACATTGTTTCCACAATTCTGAGTCATCTCCATCCTCCTGGGGCCATTTCTTCCACCTGCCACAATTCAGCAGTCATTGAAGAGGCCCTCATATAGGTTGACCAAATACAAATGGCAAATAAGGGTAATAGAATGTGAGAATAAAGGGTGACTGATTACCTATGAATCCACAGTGAGACTTCCCATTTGATTAACACTTGGGCTGATCTTAAAGAAAGATACATACATATTATTGCATACATATTAAGWTTGGAGCACTGAGCAATGGTATTTTATTTAATCTTTGTAGCAAAGGTCTAACAGGGAACATATTGTCTTTTTATGAATGCATGAGAAAGTCCAGCCTCAAGAAGATCCTAAAATTGGTCAGCTAACAATTTGACCAATGCCACCTAAGCAAACTTGGAATTTAATAAAAATTCTGTTTGATTACAAAGTCCAGCGTGTTTAGGGATGATCACACTGGTGCTGAGGACTATTAGGAGAGTATCCAAAAGCAGTAACAGGAGAGACACTCTCCAGTCAATGTGCAGCTATGCAAATGGCAAGTCAGGAAAACGTTGATTTAACACCAGGAAGGTTCACTGGCTCTCCTATGTGAGGCCCCATAAAACTAGAGGAAGAATCCTAACCAAGGACAATAAGCACCTCTCAGTTCTCTTTGAAGTAGCTGAAGAAGATTGTATGAATGTGTATTGCAGTGGGAATAAATATATGCACCAGCAATTTTCATTGGGAAAGAGAAAACACAGAAGCTCAGGATAAAGTTTGAGTCTGAGTCTCTATGTTTGAGTGTCTCCTCCTTTCATTATGTGCTGCTCAACCCACCTGAGGAACTACCTCTGCATAACCCTCCTATTCCCAGAAGAAATCAAGTTAATTGGCTTTAAGATGTGGAAGGTATTTCCAGGCTGTTATGGCCTTGAATACTGAGCTYGAATGTGGGTTTTGCAGGAGATTTCACTAATTAATTTTTATTTTACATAATTGGAGTTAGAGACTCTTGACATGCTATGTAAATGTATGCAGAATATTCAAATCATGCTTGCTCTCTGATTTACTGTAGAGGGAAAACATCTGGTGGCCTCAATTTGGGATGCCTCTTGAATGACATTCTCCTACCTATCCAGMCTAGCTGCAACATCTCTTAGAAAACCTTCAAGATGACACAACATAAAGGAGGAAGTAAAAGAGCAGCTTTGCAATGAAATTCAAAGACCAGCAAAGGAATCTTACAGACCTAGCCACAATCCCTTTATCACTGAGACAGAAGAAACTGACGGACATGAACTCCATGCACCTTTTATTACCAATATGCTAGGTAAGACAAAATTGATTTTTTGATTGATTTATTTACAGAATACACATCTAGAATTTTCTTTTAACCAGATCCACTTTGGCTATATTTGACCCATCAAAACAGTGCAACTACAGTTGAATGACATTGTCACTCACTTTGATGCTCACTTTACCTACTGCCAAACATGCCACCATATCAAACACTGCCTAAGGCACAATGTGTTCAAACTCCAAAGAAACCTGCCTAATCCACACACACCTTACAACTCAAYAAGAAGATCCTAAAATGTGGAATGATTTAATAAAATTATTATATGAAGTATACAAATAGTAAAATAAATTTATTGCAAACACATGATACTCTACAATTAAGTGGAGGCAGTTGATTGTGATATTTCTCCCTTACACTCACTCAGTAATGTTGTTTTATGCCTCCATTCATGCAGAATCCATAAAATGGGGCATAGCAGGCCTGTTATTCCCCTGATAAAGACCAGGAGGTCTTTATCCTAGGTAAGCTTATTGCTTTGATAGAAAATTGCTTCTGGGTATCTTTGCCTTATCACTATCATGTATTTATAAGCCAATATATTTTTTATGTTTCCAGAAGTGCCCGTCATAAGGCAGTACGTGACATTTGAAAAACAGGGCTTCCAACAGCTTTCTCACACTTACTAAAAGTAGTTGCTATTTAAATAGTTCAATATTGGGAGAGCAGCTGCACAGTTTCAATATGTTCATTGATTAATCTTTGACTCGGAAACAGCTAACAGTAACTCAAGGGGAAAACCTACTCTGGTTTGTTGCTCTCTTTTAAATGGTTAAGACCTAGTGTCTTATAATTTGAGATAGTAATTTTACTTCTGTTGGAAACCATTTCCTTCCCACTTCTCTTGACCAAATTAAAAAGAAAAACATTCAATTTTCTTTAGCTGTGAGGTGCTCGCAACTCTATGGGTCACTCCTCTTCTTTGGAACTACCTGGGGGTTGGTATTAACTTCTTTCTCTAAATGATGGCTTGCAGCCTGTCTCCCTCCAGCTGTCCACTGCCCATCTACTCTACGTAACCCCTACATGGTCATCAGTTCTCAGAGGTTCCATGACCATTTGTTAGTGTCCAGCTACCATTCTTGACTCATGTATCTGAGCTGCTTCTTCCACACCAATCCTATCACCACTCAAACTTCCACAGCTGTCTACACATCCCACTTGTCTCCCTTCCCCACACTCTCTCACCACTTCACCACTGGGTCTTCTTTGTTGTCTGCTCCATCCCACATCAATCATTCCAGATTTCCTAATCTAACCCACAATTTTTGTCTATGCGGATGATTTATTTGTTATAACAGAAAGACTCAATATTCTGGAAGAAAATTGTAAAGAGAAACACCACTTAGCAAACCCATAGGATCTATTTTATTCTAAAACTGTCCCAAAGAAGACAGAAATCACAGGTTTATTTTTCATCATTAGGTGTCATTACAATTGTCAACACATCAGTATCAACAACTATCCTTAAGTTCCCAAACTATGGGGTCTTTATGAATGCAAGCAAAATTGTATATCTACAACCCTATTCAATACACAGACACACACACACACACACGCACACATACACACACACACACACCCCACTTCAGGGTAGTCTTTCATTGTTTAATATTTCTGTCAGTTTGGGAAGAAAATTTAAAAACTAACATGTCCAATAATGGCCCTCTGACTACTCACCCCTAACTWCCTTCCATGTCTTTAGAAGAACAATCATTGTTGCTAATGGGAGTTTTTCTTTTGTTCACACTGCATAATTGCATTCATTTTTTAAAATCCCAAACATTGATAGACCATATGTATTTAGCATTGAACAAAACACACTTCTCTCTTCTGTACTAGATTCCTAAAGGTGCCATGCTCTGATGCACGTTTAAGTTAAAGGTAAAGCAGCAGATTGATAGAGGAGATCTTCCACCATTATGCACCCACTCTTCAACCTCCACCAACTGGTTCTCCCATTCCTTTACAGCTTACTGCTGCATCAACCCCACCTACCCAGGACAGGGACACGGAACAGATCACTCTCAGCCTGTCCCTTTGCCATCAGGCAAAATGAGTCTCATGCAAAGGGCCAGGATGGCTCGCTGATTAGTCCTTTCTTAGATCTCAAATACCTGCATCTTAAGTTAGGAGAAAATGTTGGGAGCCAGCGACCGCACCCTGAATATGGCGCTGGTCTCTGCTTCCGCTTCGTTAGCGGTTAGAGTTGTTAGAAGTAAACAACTCCTTGTAAGGCTGTGGGGCTGGGCTCTGGCCTGCTTCCGCTGCGCTGTACCTATTAGACTTCTCCACGTGGTGCTAGTTCATTGGCGGGGCTGGGTACTTAAGCTAGGGCAGACCGATCGCTCGCTCTCTTGTTCCTGTTTTCTCATCATGATTCAAAGGTCCTGAGTAAACTGCTGAAAGAAGAATCCTGTGTCGTGTTTCCCTTGCCGGCGAGGGGTCGCGACAAGAAAATACCTCCAATTGTATTTTATTTTCATTAATAAAATCAATGCAGGTTTGTTATAGGAAAATTAGGGGAAATCTATAAAACAATATAAGAAACAAAAATGAAAGCCTTCAGGAATTCTGTTTCTACAGACTCAACCACTTTGCCAGACATTTGGACA